TTAGGCAAATGGTAACAGAAGGATAGAGGGGTTTGAAAAGACTGAATAGAGAATATGTAATTTTTGTTCATTAGTTCTTCTACAATTTCATGAAGAGAAAGATAAAAATAGGTAAGGACCTAATCCCAGAAGAATAAGGCTAATCAGGAGAAGCAACTTACCTTTATTATGTAATTGAGATCAATAAAGCAAAATGATATAATTTCCGAAATCCTGTGTAATAGTCTAACTGGTAGGAATGTAAATTAATATAGCCATTATGAAAAATACTATGAAGGTTTCTCAAGAATCTGAAAATAGAACTACCATATAATCTAGCAATTTCATTACTGGTATTTATCCAAAGGAAGGAAAATCAGTAAATTGAAGAGATATGTGTACCCCATGTTTACTGCAGCACTATTCACAATAGTCAAGATATGGAATCAATCTAAGTGTCCATCAATGGATAAATGGATAAAGAAAATGTGGTACGTATACACAACAGACTACTATTTAGCCATTAAAAAGAATGAAATACTGTCATTTCTGGCAACATGAATGAGTCTGGGGGACATTAAGTGAAATAAGTCAGGCATAAGAAGATAAATATTGCATGTTCTTACATGTGGAAGCTTAAAAAAATTGAGATCATAAAAGTAGACAGTAGAACTGTGGTTATGAGAGGTTGAAAAGGGTGGTAGGGTAGCAGGGGAAGTAACAGCAGTGGGTGGGGTGGGGAGGATAGCAGGAGGTTAATGAAGACAAAATTACAATCGGACAGGAGAAATGACTTCTAGTGTTCTACAGCACTTTAAGGTAAATATGGTTAACAATAACTTATTGCGTATTTTCAAAAAGCTTTAAGAGAAGATTTTGAATGCTCACAACACAAGGAAATGATCAATGTTTTCAGTGATGGATATGCTAATTAGCCTGATTTGATCATTATGCTTTGTATCGAAATATCACTCTGTATTCCACAAATGAATATGATTGTTATATGTCAACTAAAAAGAAAAAGAGTCAAACATGGGGAACTTGATCCGATAAAAAATAAAAAATTTCCATTCAAGTAAAACCACAGCATTACTTATTATTGATACTGACAAACTTCAAAAGTGGGTAACGGATAAGACTGCATTACTGAATGAGGTAAAAGAAAAAAACAAACAAGAACAAATCCTATGGTTTCATGGCAACATAATAGAAATGTTTCACTTTGAAGATCTCCCATTTTACAAGGCCTAAAATTTTTTTGAAAATGGCATGACTTTGTGGAGATGTTACTGCAATTATTATTTGCATATACGAATGTGACAGAGGTTAAAAGCAATTCACAAAAAATCTAAGTTGCTGACATTTTCTCCATGTACTTAAATACACTGTACAGATGAATTTGCTTAAAATGCTTTTGTGTTAACTGGATATAAAATGTAAGTGAGCAGAGCAAACAATATTATTAACAAGGTTAAGTTTCCTTAATAAGTTTTGATCCAGGTTTTAAAAGGTACAGCAATGAACTGATAGACAAAAGAAGGTGTAAAGGGAAAAAGAACAGAACAAGAAGTGGAACTCCAACTTGAGATTTCATGCTTATCAGGAGAAAAACTGGACCAGATGAACTTAAGGTCCCTTTGAGTTCTACATTCCTTTTTTTTTTGAGACAGAGTCTTGCTCTGTCACCCAGTTTGGAGGTCAGTTCAAAGCCTTTCAGGCTCAAAAACTATTCTTGTGCCTCAGCCTGCCAAGTAGCTGGAATCACTGGCACACACACCATCACGCCCAGCTAATTTTTGTATTTTTAGAAGGAATAAGGTTTCACCATGTTGGCCAGGCTGGTCTGGAACTCCTAACCTCAGGTGATCCATCTAGCATTCCCAAAGTGCTGGGATTACAGACATGAGTGAGCCACAGTGCTCGGTCCCAGTTCTACATTTCTGTAAGTATTCTAGTAGCAAGAAATAATCTTAAAAATACCTCATAGAGACTATGGTACAGTTTTTTTCCCCTACCTATTAAAATAGGCTATTGGTCAATATTACCTGTACTTAAAACTTGAAAAACGTGAACAACAATGCAGAGGATATAACTACATAAATATTTTAGTCCCAAAGAGTCATTTAAGGAGACTTCCCTATGCTGAAAATCAATCAATATAATTTAACCTACTACTTCAACACTGTAACGCATGACTGTTCACTTGACCACATGAAAGAATAAGTAGTAAAAAAAACCAGCATACTCAATGTCAAAACGAGAATGTTTCTTCAAGTAAAAGTTAGGATTCCTAAATGTGGATTTTATTATGCTGAGACAAAGATTTTTTATACTGCAGTATATTTCTGAAATCAAAATGAAAGTAAAGATATTATTAATAAGTTTAAAATGCCACTGGAAATGTAGTTAACAAAGAAAGGCTCATTACAACAAATCTACTTCCATATCCTAGAAGGTAAGCTATATAGAAGTATGATCTTTTTCTGGTTCTAGAGAATTCCTTTCAATAATAAAAAATTCTACAACGAAGTACTTACGTGGTCTCTGATAGTGGTTAAGAGCTCAAGCTCTATGATTAGATAAACACAGGTCTGAGTGCCAGCCTTACCTCTTACAAGGAATATGAAGATAGCAACATTGTTTGACCTCTTTGACCTTCAATTTCCTTCTCCATACAATGTAATCAAAAATAGAATATACCCTTATAAAATTGTGATGATCAGGTGTCTGGCACATAGTAAATTATCAATATATCTTAGCTATATAGTGAAGAAACTTAGCTACAGAAGAGATTTTTAAAAATTCTTCTGATCATCTACTTAGATTCTCCCTTCCAAGTAAAACACCTAAACCTAAACTTGCTTTAAAACCAAAACAAAGAAACAAACAATAGTAGTATAAAAGCAAACCCAATAAGTAGATGGAAGAAATAAATGAGAGAATTATAAGTCTCTCTCTCTCTCTCTCTCTCTCTCACGTGTGTGTGTTTCTGCTTGATATTGCCCTCTTCCTACATAACGACTTCTCCTTTTATAATTCACTAGAGAACCCAGACTTCCATTATTTATATCTAGATTTTGTTCTGTGGAAATATGATGTCTAGCAATATATTTACATTAATATTAAATAGTAACTTGTAAAGTGAATATATTATAAAAGAATTACATTTTAATTATTTTCATTTTTCAGGAATGGAATACATTTAAAATATAAGATTCAAATGAGTTCAATGACTTTGGCAATTTGACTATATTCTTATATTTTGAACCACAAATTAAAACACTGAATAAGCAACTTCTAAAAATCCCAAACAAATTGACCTAAAAAGTTAAGAGACAGAATAACAGAATTGAGCAGGTCTCCTGTCATGTTTCAGGCTGTTTACTGTTTTTATGCTAGTCTTGGTTAATCTGATCAGAATCTTTATACCACAGTGCTAAACACTACTCTCTTAGAATCATTCTTCCTTCCAAGTAAAACAGACCAATGATTCCACTCTCTAGAATCATTGTTCCATGCCATATTTATTCCTATGTTTTCTTTCCCTCACAGGTATTCCCACGTCAGAGATGCTTTTTTAACAGAACTCTTGTAATTTAAAATAATAACTTCATTTCCAGCTGATACTGCTTTAAGCAGAAAGCTCTCTGTGCTTGCCAGAATCAGAAGTTATATTAAAGACTCATATTAAGACCCAACTGGCTATTTGTTTGTGTCTGACTGCTCAGAGGGATAAAGGATGAGCTAGTTGGTACTAATCTATTCCCCTTTTTCACACATCTGAGGCTGCCTTTGATTTCTCATTCTATCCCTAGCCCAGGAATCTACAATTCCTAAAAGTGTTCAAGTTGTATAAGCTCTGTTTGAGTAACCACTAGTTAGTTCTTTACCTGGAATCAAAAGATCTTAACACTAAACCTGAAACTTGAAAAAAAAAATACCAAACACCACCGTATTTTATTAACTCACAAAGCATTTCCTTTTTAGAAACATAAAACCATATTAACTTTTTTGCATCCTTTTGTCCTAAAAATTACTTGTGAGAAATTGATGAAGAGCAGACAAAGTTGTGTGTATTTCAATGAACGCGACTATTGTTATTTAAGAAATCAGGGTTAGAATTTTAAAGAGAATGCTTCCCTAATTTTACTTCTTTGCCATATCTCTCGTTAAGGAAAAAATAACATACATGACATTTGCCCCTTACTTTTTACTCTAAAGTTCTTTATAACTTCCTCAATTTCCTTTTCATTCACCAAGATTTACAGAATGCTCAGTATCAGGTATTAAACTACATACGAGAGATAGAGAAATAAGTAGGGCTAGATGCGGTAGCTCACGCCAGTAATCCCACCACTTTAGAAGGCCGACGCAGGAGGATGGCTTGAGGTCAGGGGTTCCAGACCAATCTGAGCATATAGGGAGATTTTGTTTCTACAGAAAAATCTGGGTCAGGCGTGCTGGCTCATGCCTGCAATCCCAGCACTTTGGGAGGCCAAGTTGGGTGGATCACCTGAGGCCAGGAGTTTGAGACCAGTCTAGCCAACATGGTAAAACCCCATCTCCACTAAAAATACAAAAAATTAGCGGGGCATGGTGTCTCATGCCTGTAACCCCAGCTACTCTGGAGGCTGAGGCAGAACTGCTTGAACCCAAGGGGAGGAGGTTGCAGTGAGTTGAGATCATGCGCACTACACTCCAGCCTCGGTGACAGAACAAAACTCTATCTCAAACCAAAAATAAATAAACAAATAAATAAAAAGAGAAAGAAATGAGTAGGAGTCAGTGCTGCCTTAGAAGATAACAGAATCTAGTGACATAGTAGATTAAGTGTTAAGTTTTGGAGGCAGTATTACTGGAACATAAAGGAGCCATTCAGCAGAAGCGGAGAAAAATTTTCAAAGAGCTAAAACCTGACCTAAAATTCAGTATGAGAGATTTAGTGTTCTAACTACATAACAATATGCGCAGAAGCAAGAGACAATGGAGAGGGTGGAGCAGGTGGTGGTTTTGGCTCCCCCATGGACATCTTTGATATGATTTGGAGGAGGAGGAAGGATGCAGAGAGAAAGGAGAGGTAAAAATGTTGTACATCAGCTCTCAGTAACCCCAGAAGACATATAATGGTGCAACAAGAAAACTGGCTCTGCAAACGAATGTGATTTGTGACAAATGCGAAGGTAGAGGAGGTAAGAAAGGAGCAGTAGAGTGCTGTCCCAATTGCCGAGGTAACTGGAATGCAAATAAGAATTCATCAGATAGGACCTGGAATGGTTCAGCAAATTCAGTCTGTGTGCATGGAGTGCTAGGGCCATGGGGAGTGGATCAGTCCTAAAGATAGATGTAAAAGTTGCAATGGAAGGAAGATAGTTCAAGAGAATAAGATTCTAGATGTTCATATTGACAAAGGCATGAAAGATGGCCAGAAGATAACATTCCATGGTGAAGGAGACCAGGAACCAGGACTGGAGCCAGGAGATACAATCATTGTGTTATATCAGAAGGACCATGCTGTTTTTACTCGATGAGAAGACTTTTTCATGTGTATGGACATACAGCTGGTTGAAGCACTGTGTGGCTTCCAGAAGCTGGTATCTACTCTTGACAACCAAACCATAGTCATCACCTCTCATCCAGGTTAGATTGTCAAGCATGGAGATATCAAATGTGTACTAAATGAAGGCATGCCAATTTATTGTAGACCATATGAAAAGGGTCGCCTAATCATCGAATTTAAGGTAAACTTTCCTGAGAATGGCTTTCTCTCTCCTGATAAACTATCTTTGCTGGAAAAACTCCTACCAGAGAGGAAGGAAGTAAAAGAGACTGATGAGATGGATCAAGTAAAACTGGTGGACTTTGATCCAAATCAGGAAAGACGGTGCCATTACAATGGAGAAGCATATGAGGATGATGAACATCATCCCAGAGGTGGTGTTCAGTGTCAGACGTCTTAATGGGCCAGTGAATAACACTCACTGCTGGCATTTCATGTGCAGTAGTTAAGGAGTAAGGACTGTAATCATAATATGCTCACTACTTGCTCTTTTGTTAATCAACTATAGTAGTGTTTTAAAAAGTTAAATGAAGAATAAAGGCAAATATAAAAGCTCTGACCTTGCCCTGTATGTATGATGACTTCAGTGTGCAAAATGAAGTTTAATACCTATAAAAACTACTTTACAAAGAAGTTCCCCTAGCATTGTTAGGCCAAACCTTGTAATTGACTTCAGCTATGTATGTGGACAAGCTTAGACTGAAATGCTAGGTATATGTACTGGCTTCAGTGTATGACCCTTCACTGTTAAGCTATGAAAGTAAAACTGTATTTAACTGGCAATAAGAAAAAAAAAGTTGTAGAGAAGTGTTGGTCTGTGCAGTTCTTGAATTAAGTGGGATTCACTGCAATGCCTCTGCATTTATTCTATTGCCTCAACTGTTACTTGAAGATGGTATAATATATAATTTATCCTGTGGTATCAGTGATAAAAATGGTACCTTTCTGTAGGAGGGGTTTTCATAATATGCTGCTTCTTGAAGCCTTGCACTTCCAAAATTGTTTCCTTCTGCTGTGCCATTCACACACACACACACACACACACACACACACACACACACACACACACATATCTCCATATATATCTAGACCAGTCCTGGTTATTTGCCCCCCTCCTTGTCTGTGGACCATGATAAGCCTGAGTAGTGACTTCAGAGCTGGGTAATGTAGAAATTAAAGTGAAAAGACCTTTACATGGAGAACTAATTTGCATGCGTAATATAGGAAGGTGTTCTTTTAGGTATGTTACAGGATTACTTTAAACCATTTGACTTACGCTCCAAAGTAACTAATGTTGGTAGTATAGCAAATTATGATGAATAGCTTTAATTGTATGTTTAAAAGTCTAATATGTTCACATGCTTAAATCTGGGTATCAGAATTTAAGCAATTCTTGAAATGTATTGTCTCCTTAATACACCAATTCAAAGCATCTCCAAAAAAAAAAAGAGAGACAATGGAGAGTATAGAAAGGTCAATAGTTTAATATGATCAGAATGAAAGACCTAGAAAGCTAACTCTCTCTTTACTAGGGTTTAGGCATGATTGTACTATTTACAGGACTATTTTAAACTACCAGAAAATCTAATTCTCAATCTTTAAAATGAGAATAATAATTCCTTTTATTAGCATTCTCATGAAAACTAAATGAGATAATATTAACAAGTACTTGTTGGCTTGGTGTGGTAGCTCATGCCTGTAATCCCAGAGCCTTGGGAGGCTAAGGCAGGAGGATTGCTTGAGTTTAGCAGTTCAAGACCAGCCCGGGCAACATAGTGAGACCCTATCTCTACAAAATAAAAATAAAAAATTTAGCCAGGCATGGCAGCACTCGCTTGTAGTCCCAGCTGCTTGGGAGGCAGAGGCAGGAGGACTGCTTGAGCCTAGGCAGTTGAGGCTGCAGTGAGCCATGACTGTGCCACTCTGCACTTCAGCCCAGGGCAACAAAGCAAAACCCTGTCTAAAAAAGATGAATATATAGGAAAAAATCTCGGGATAAATAACAATTATGCAAGGAAAGATAACTGGCAATCTGTGGTAGGCCATGGTCAGACGTCCAGCTCAAAAAACCTTAAGAAAAGCTCTGACGCTGTATCTGCTTTATTATCTGACATATATATATCTCCATATATATCTAGACCAGTCCTGGTTATTTGACCCCCTCCTTGTCTGTGGACCATGATAAGCCTGAATAGTGACTTCAGAGCTGGGTAATGTAGAAATTAAAGTGAAAAGACCTTTACATGGAGAACTAAGTATCTATTGCTTTAACTAGTAAACTTACACTTATTGCCTATGAGGGTAGTACTATTGTTTTTACTCTATTTTAGAGATGAGGAAGTTATACCTCAGACACCCTAACAAACTTGCTCAACTGTCCTTCTGGTAGGGTAGTCTACATTTGGAAGCTACCTCTCCTGACTTCAAGACCCTTTTTAATTGTATCAGGCTGCCTCTGGTAATTTATAGATTGTTAACTACTCAAAAAGGGTTCCAACAAAATCGGCAAGCACTATCTCTCAGGTATTTCTTATCAGTATTGCTCTGGGCATATAGACACTTGTGCCTTTTCAGCTACTCATGTATAGCACGGTAAATTGCATAAGCACGAGCAGCCGGGCACGGTGGCTCATGTTCGTAAACCTAGCACTTTGGGAGGCTGAGAGAACCCAGGAGTTCATGACCAGCTTGGGCAACATGGTGAAACCCTGTCTCTATAAAAAATACAAAAATTAGCCAGACGTGGTGGCATGTCTTTAGTCCCAGCTACACAGAAGTCTGAGGTGGGAGGTTCACTTGAGCCCAGGAGGCAAAGGTTGCAGTCAGCCACGATCATGCCACTTCACTCTAGCCTGGGCAACAATGTGAGAACCTGTCTTTAAAAAAAAAAAAATAGGTACAAAGCAAACACTCATTAGCTATATCACTTTATGATAACAACAAAACCAACAGTTAATATAATTTCTTAGAGGATTTTGTTACATCTATGATTCAAAACAGTAATGAAATATATCTTACAAAATATGCATGTATTTTAACCCTTTACTTAAAGAAGCTGCAGTGCAATGCCATCAATATATTAATAGTGACAGCATTGTAAGTGATGGCTCTGAATAGTCCCTAGATAATGAGATTTCATGATACTCAAATATTAAGCCCAAGTTCTTGATCCACCTCTTTTGTCAGTAGCTTTTCTCTCCTATTGCAATTAGCCATCTGACACCTGTTTCATTAGTTCATGGCAATAAAGAATCTGATTTGACAAAGAGGCAGCTCTCCAAAATATATATGAAAGGGTAGTAGAGTCAGTTCATTTTACCCAATGTTAAATCTAGTCTGCTTGGAAAAGAAACTTCTAATTTGAATACTAAATAACCCACTGTTTTTGACTTCCAAGGCTTATATATCTGCCCAAGTTAAAAACCTATAACACTTGTGTATTATTTTATGATAAAGATGTCCACAGATATTATTTCCAAGGAGGAAAAGTCAATGTTTGTATTTAGTTATGAGGATAGGCTAACTGTATTAAAGGAAATCAAGTGCTGCTGGAAATTTCAAATTTCAAGTCAAACAAAACTTGTTCCCTTTTCTTGAATTGCGTATTATAATTTAACCATTTTATTTGTTCTCTATTTTCTTAACCCTCAATGTGAAGAAGTCACAGAAAACCCTAGTAACAATATTTTAAAGACCCAAACTAATGTTGAATAGAAAAATAACATTATAAAACAGCATGCCAATCCTGAATCCTGAATGTTCCAGGAAATTCACATGTCAAAATATTTTACTATCTGCTGCCCCCACTACAGTTAACAACATGCTCTCACACACAAATGTTAGCATCGAATTACATACAGACACTTTACATAGGAAGTGACACATGTAAAGGAGTGACAGATCATGTTACCCTCTAAAATAGTTACCAAAAACAATTTACCAAAAATCAATTCAAACAAAAATCAACTTGTTTTCTTTTCTTTCTCACTTATAATTTATTCTACAGATTTCAAATTGCATTGCAAGGCAATATAATTATTTTAAACAGGATGCATGTAAATAATGTTACATTAAATAAAAATTAAATTAAAAGCATGTTTTCTAAAATTAAGTGTCTGGATACTTATCAAACATCATTTGTGGTTGGGAGAAGAAACAGAAAGATGGATAACTCATAGTGATCAGACAAAAAAGATTGATAGCATGAGGAAGGCAGCAGTTACCCTCTGATTTGCAAATGAACTATGAAATAATGCAGATTGCCAATCTAATTTAATAGATTATATTTTAAGCAGGAATTTGTGAAAAAGACACCACTCTTTTCCTTAGCATATGCCTAGAAATCATGATATAACGCTAATAACTGTGAAGTTTCCCTGTATTTTCTGCATTTTAAACATGAATCCTATATCAAATAAGCCATAAATACAACCATTAATATATTTAAAGAGGAGATACCAAACTTCAAACTTCTCCAAAAATGAGTAAATTTACACTGACTTCTATAAAACACATTCAACTTTGTCTTCTAATCTGCCTATAAAATGCACAAATATAATTATTCAAGAGGCATCCGAAGAACAAATATTGTGACTTAAAACTGAGTCTAGTTGTAATAAAAATATATTAATTTTGCTTGACTCCTGATAATTCAAAATGGATTATCTGCAAGATGACTTCAAAAGCTTTGGTCTCTTTTAAAAGCTATCTAGGAAAACTTTAAATGATGCCTTAAAAATATTTTTAGCATGAACATAGATGTTGAAGGTCATTAAAGAGAACAAAGAGTTGTGCTCAAGGTGGAGATTTCTAAACAATTCAATCTGTGTCTCAAAAAGACTCATGTTCAGTTGTAAGGTTCAGGGTAAGAAATCTCTTAGCATATAAGTCAACTGAAGATTCTTAAGAACTGAGACATGCTCCAAAAACTACAATGCTGTGACTCCAATCATTTCAGACATGCTATTTCTATAGCGTTTCTCAACACAGAGAGAAAATTACTTAAAATAACTTTCTCCCTAGGTGATTTAACAATCCAAGCTTTGAATTCAGATATACAATTCACCAGAAATCTTACTTTCATATATGTTTGATCAGCATAAGCTTGCAATCTGAAATTTCCAGCCATACTTTATTTCCATTTATAGTCGGCCTAGCCTCATAACTTTAAATATAAGTATTGTTTTTTTTTCCTCCTTGGAAATAAATATCTGTGAATATCTTTAGCATAAAATAATAGTCCTATTAAGGAACTTCCCTGGCCCAGTAACCCCCTCCACAATGATTTCAGCTACAGAAATCATCAGATGCTAGGGGCACTTGCCACTTCACTCTATGTTTAGGTTATACAAATTAATGGGATTTAAAATTAATAGACCAACTTCATTTGCCAAGAATGACTTATTTTGGAATCCACAGGTTGTTTTATATTCCTACAATGTTAATGCCCTAGTGTGAAGGTTATTTGAGTATATGCTGCTGTTAAATTTGGCGTTTGATCTAAATAATGGAACTTTTTTTCATGTCAGCAATAAGACTCATAACTTACCTTACCATTTTTCCACTAAACTTATTACTATAGAGTAACATTTATATCCTAGATGTGACATTATCAGAATGGTTTTTACTCTAGCACACTGAGTAACTATTAACCTGCAGCTATATCCTTTCACCACTAGATGAAGCTTGAGCACAGGTGATGTGAATTGTGGAGTGCAGTCTTAAAGTGGAGTACAGGTCACTAGGAGAAAACAATGGGAGAAGACAGAGAAAAGTCTGATGTTAAGAACAGATTTTGATTAAGCAATATTGTGGAGGCAAAACTACCACATAGCAAAAGCTCAGAGTGTCTGCTAATTGTCAATAAAATGATGCTGTTTCAATTAGTGAAATTTCTCCTACTGATATATTTCATAATGCAGAGCAGATAGGCTAATTGCTATGGTGAATAAAAATAAACATACAGTCAGTTACAAACTATGTTACCTGCAGATTACTTGACTTTGTGCAAGTGGCTTAAACTTCTGAGACTCAGTTTCTTCATCTATTAAAAAATGAAAACACTAGACTAATAATCACACCTATGAGATGGGTAGCTTAGGAGGGCATTAGTTACCTTCTAACTTAGTGAAGTTTACAAATGGATGGAACTATCTTTCCAAAAAATATGCCTGTTGAAGTCCATTAAGTACCTATCTGGAAATTTATCTTGCAAAGTTCTCTCTATTTCCTAAAAGTCTTGTGCTTATGTAAAAGTGAAAGTTTTTAAGATTTATCTAATAAATATATAATAGTAAACATGAAAAAATTTAATATAAGAAAATGATTTTATTTCTAATCTCAATCTCTTCTTATGAATTATTGATGCAAATTGCTGATTTCATTAAATATTTCACCTAATATTTACTGAAGAGTAATAAATGTTATTTTTTTCTTCCTCTAAGGAGTTTATATTTCTAGAGAAACACAATTGATAGTCATAATAAATATGGTCTTCTCAAATGGTTTTCCCACTTCAACTAGTTATTCTGTTTTAAAAAAGAAAGTCCAGGTACTTAAGTCTGTAGAGACAACAAAAGACGACTATTTTAATAAACCAGTTAATATGACTTCTTTACTCTCTTACAGAAAAAGTATAAACATTGTGATCCCAATTTCAATTTTTAAAATATGCATAAAGATTGGAAAAATATACATTCAAATGTCAGCAGTAATTTTCCCTCATTATTTCTTCCTTTTTGGAATTTTTAGCAAAGAATCTGAATTACTTTTATATAATTAGGAAAAATGCTTACATTAATATTATTGCTTATTTTAGGTGATAAAATACATAACATGTCACAAAGATATTTTTATAAAAGTATGATGTTACATATTGATAAAATATATCAATCTGATTTTGAAGAAAATAAAGTCTGAAAATTTCAACTTTCTCAAAATGTAGAGAAGTTGTTTCCCTGTACAAGGACTCACTCTACTGGTGACACAGAGAATATACTTAATCTGACATTGCTGAAGTAACTGCGTATTTTCCATAAACACTAGAGGGCAGGGTTTTGACCACAAAACTCAACTTCATTTGTATTTGGGTGTGTATATATAAATATTTTACTTATATTTGGGTATATATATCATTTATATTTGTATATATGCACACATTATTTTGTACAAATGCAAAATGTATATACACATTATTTTGTATAATGAACTCTGACTCAAACAATCCTTTTGCCTCACTCTTCCAGTAGCTGGGACTACAGAATATATATACACATTAGTTGTGCATATATTTGTATTTATAATGTGTATATACATGTTCTGTATTTATATGCAAATATATACACATATACAAATATATATACACATCATTTATATTTTGCATTTATACAAGTGATTATGTCTATTTTATATTTTATTTATATTTTGTATTCATTTGTATATATACAACATATATTTTTTATATGTTTTAAAAACATTTTTAGTTATGTAGTAATAAATACATAATCTAAGGCTTTAATATGACACTATTTCATATTAAAATTGGATCACTAGGCTGGGTACAGTGGCTCATGCCTGAAATCCCAGCACTGTGTGAGGCCGAGGTGGGCAGACTGCTTGACTTCAGGGGTTTGAGACAGCCTGGGCACAGGGCAAAATCCTGTCTCTACAAAAAATAGAAAAATTATTTGGCATGGTAGTATACCTATAGTCCCAGCTTGTCGGTTTCAGAGGCAGGAGAATCACTTGAGCCTGAGAGGTGGAGGTTGCACTGAGCTGAGATGGCACCACTGCACTCCAGCCTGGGTAACAGAACCAGACCAGACCATGTCTCAAAAAAACGCCAAAAACAAAAAAAACGTAATTACTAACTGATATGGTTTGGCTATGTCCCCACCCAAATCTCATCCTGCAGTTCCCATAATCCCCACATGTCATAGGAGGGACCTGGTGAGAGGCAACTGAATCATGAGGGTGGTTCCACTAATGGTGTGTGAGTCTCATGAGATCTGATGGTTTATAAAGTGCAGTTCCCCTGCACATGCTCTCTTGCCTGCTGCCACATAAGACGTGCCTTTGCTCCTCTTTTGCCTTTTGCCATGATTCTGAGGCCTCCCCTGCCATGTGGAACTGTGAGTCAATAAAACTTCTTTACTTTATAAATTACCCAGTCTCAGATACATCTTTATTAGTGTGAGAAGATTAATACAGTAAACGGATTAAGACAGGAAGATGTGAGAAAGTTTGGAACTTCCTAGAGACTTGTTGAATGGCTTTGATGAAAATACTAATATTGATATGGACAATGAAGTCCTAGTTGAGGTGGTCTCCGATAGAGATGAGGAACTTATTGGGAACAGGAACAGCAAAGGTAGATTTTTTGCTATGCTTTAGCAATGAGACTGGAAGCATTTTCCCCCTGCCCTAGAGATCTGCGGAACTTTGAATTTGAGAGGGACGATTTAGGGTGGTGGAAGAAATTCTAAGAAGCAAAGCGTTCAAGAGTTGACTTGGGTGCTCTTAAAAGCATTCAGTTTTATTCATTAACAAAGACATGGTTTGGAATTAGAACTTACATTTAAAAGGGAAGTAGAGAATAAAAGTTTGAAAAATTTGCAGCCTGACAATGCAATAGTAAAGAAAAACCTATTTTCTGAGAAATTCAAGCCAACTGAAGAAATTTTATAAGTAATGAGGAGTCAAATGTTAACTGCCAAGACAATGGGGAAAATGTCTCCAGGTCATGTCAGAGGTCTTCATGGCAGCCCCTCCGATCACAAGCTGGGAGGCCTAGGAGAAAAAAAATGGTTTCAGGGGCCTTGCTGCTTTGTGCAGTCTCAGGACATGGTACCCTGTGTCCCAGCTATAGCTAAAAAAAGGTCAATGTACAGCCCACCCTTGATGGCTTACACGTGATGTTGGGCCTGTGGGTACACTAAAATCAAGAATTGAGGTTTGGGAACCTCCAGCTAGATTTCAGAGGATATAGAGAAATGCCTAGATGTCCAGGTAGAGGTGTGCTGCAAAGGTGGAGCCCTCATGGAGAAACTCTCTGCTAGGGCAGTGCAGAAGGGAAATGTGGGGTGGGAGTTCCCACACAGAGTCCCCACTGGGGCACCACCTAGCGGAGCTGTGAGAAGTGGGCCACTAGAATGATAGATCCACTGACTGCTTGCACCATGTGCCTGGAAAAGCCACAGACTCTCAATGCCAGCCTGTGGAAGTAGCCAGGAGAGGGGGCTGTACCCTGCAGAGCCACAGGGGCAGAGCTTCCCAACATCATGGAAATCTACCTCTTATATCAATATGACCTGGATGTGAGATATGGAGTCAAAGGAGATTATTTTTGAATTTTAACATTTGACTGCCCTGCTGAATTTTGGACTTGCATCAGGCCTATACCCCCTTCGTTTTGGCCAATTTCTCCCATTTGGAATGGGTGTATTTACCCAATGCCTGTATCCCCCTTGTATTCTGGAAGTAACTAACTTGCTTTTGATTTTACAGGCTCATAGGCAGAAGGGGCTTTCCTTGTCTCAGATGAGACTTTGGACTATGGACTTTTGAGTTAACGGTGAAATCTGGGGGACTGCTGGGAAGGCATGATTGGTTTTGAGGACATGAGATCTGTGAGAGGTCGAGGCAGAATGATATGGTTTGGCTGTGCCTCACCCAAATCTCATCTTGAATTGCACTTCCCATAATTCCCATATGTTGTAAGAGGGACCCTGTGGGAGGTAATTAAATTATGGGGACAGTTACCCCCACGCTGCTTTTCTCTTAATAGTGAGTGAGTCTCACAAGATCTGACAGTTTTATAAAGAGCAGTTCCTCTACACATACTCTCTTGTCTGCCGACACATAAAATGTGCCTTTGCTTCTCCCTGGCCTTCCACCATAATTGTGAGGTCTCCCCAATCATGTCAAACTGTGAGTCAATTAAACCTCTTTCCTTTATAAATTACCCAGTCTTGGGTATGTCTTTATTAGACACTGTGAGAACAAACTAATACACTAACAAATACATTGAAAATTGAGGCCCTTTATTTTTTATTTTTTTTATTTTTATTTTTGAGATGGAGTTTTGCTCGTTACCCAGGCAGGAGTGCAATGGCGCGATCTCGGCTCACCGCAACCTCTGCCTCCTGGGTTCAGGCAATTCTCCTGACTCAGCCTCCCGAGTAGCTGGGATTACAGGCGTGCGCCACCATGCCCAGCTAAATTTTTGTATTTTTTTAGTAGAGACGGGGTTTCACCATGGTGACCAGGATGGTCCCGATCTCTTGACCTCGTGATCCACCTGCCTCGGCCTCCCAAAGTGCTGGGATTACAGGCTTGAGCCACTGCACCCGGCCGAGGCCCTTTATTAAATTGATTCTAATTTAATAAAAAATGCAAAGATAATTTTTAAAAAAATTAGTTAAATGCTCTCAGAATGGCAGATCTTTAAGAGAATACTAAAACCTTCTCTAACCCCCAAAGAGGTCTTACATTTACAAGGTTTATGAATTGGGATGGCGATAGAAGAGAAGGTGAGAGAGAAAACAAAACTCCAGGAAGAGAGAACAGCAAGAGTAAAATTATGACTTCTGAAAATTGCATAGTTTATGAGGGGCATGTCAATCTAATCTGGTATGTGACTACAATATAGGGTGCAGTAGGAAATAGCTGAGAATGGAAAAGTAGGATAGGGTCATTTGGAGAAGGACTGTGCTGCTATACTTAGGAGCTGGACTTTATTCTAAAGGCAATAGGAAAGCTACTGAAGACTTTTAACCAACAGAGAGCTGTGACTAGATCTCTTTTTATTAATGGAAAGACAGCAGTTCAGTTGTACCTTGGTATCTACTGGGAGATTGGTTCCAGGATTCCCAAAAACACCAAAATCCATGGATGTTCAAGTCCCTTATAAAAAATGGCACAGTATTTGCCTATAATGTATGCACATCCTCCCAATACTTTAAATCATTGCTAGATTACTTATAATGCCCAATATAAAGTAAATGCTGTGTAAACAGTTGTTAAACTGTTTTTTTATTTGTATTACTTTTTAATGTTGTATTATAATTTTTTCTCCCAAATATTTATCCACAGTTGGTTGAATTCAAGAATGTGGAGCCCATGGATACAGAGGGCTGACTGCATATAGGGTGAATCAGAAGAGTGAGAACTTAGAGGACAGAAGGCCAAGATGTCAAGTACACTGGCCTTAAATAGTATAAAAACAGTGAAAATGCAAACAGGAAGTATTCTAATGACTTTTAAAAAGTCACGAACAACTGGACTTGGTGAATGGACAAATACAAAGAATGAGAATTTCGAACCCTGGTGAGTGAAATGGGTGCGTATTGATGGTTTCAAGGCAAAGACTAGAGTTTTAATCACTCTAAGTGCAAAATGCTTCCTGAAATCCAGGTGGCAAGGTCTATTAAATAGCGAGAAATGTGTGGCTAGAATTCAGAGAAGTGAGATATAAATACAAAGAAAAGAATATGATTACTTTTTTTATGATTTATGAAATGAGTCATATTACCTTAGACTTATACCTGTTATTAAAGTAAATTTCTAATTTAGTGGTATCCATGTAAACTATGGGATGGCATTGTACTATTAGGTTTAACTCTTAGTCAATTTAGATTATTTGTCCACCTCAAAAACATAGAACTAAAATTTGCTGGAAAGCATATGACTTACGTTTCATATACAAATAGGGATTAAGACATTTAAAATCTATACATATACATATTCCACACACACACACATATATATATACACATTTAATTTGAAGTCAAACCAAAATTACAAAAGATATATTTATGCGACAAAAAAATTTGAGGGTTTACTAATAATGAAGGCCAGGAGTACCGATGATTATTAATAACTACAATTGGTATAACTTCACATTTATAAAGTCTCTCAAATAAATGTTTTTATCTCTACAACCTGTCTATGAGGTAGGCTAGAGCTGGTACTAACAATAACAATAGTAAGAATTAGAATAACATATATAAATTTAATACAATTTAGTTTATTGTCTGCACATCCTCCCCAAATTTCTAGAATAAACTAGAGATCTTAGGTGTTCTTATTTGGAAATTTATATTTTAAATTGGAACTTTGCTGGCATGAATAAACTAGATTGGAACACTATTAAATTTTCTAAAATTTTCTGTAACATGGAAAAGGAAAATATAGACCAAAGAAATTTAATGCTTTTCCACTATGAAAAGCATCCAATCTGGTCTAGACAAATAAATTGGGTACCATAAATGTTTTCTAATTATTACACAAAGTTAGAATCCTAAGGAAAAGTCTGATCGAATTATTATGTCATTTTAAGTCTGGCCATGTATGAACCTTATAAAACTTTCAAATTGCTGGCATTAATTTTGCCTTTACAGTTTTAAATCAAATTCCATTCCAAAAGGACAAATAGCCATCGAAAGTTCTTAGTTCTGCTATAATTCCCTGAATTTCGGTTTTTAGAAAACACAGCATTATCTAGATATAAATTTTAAATATTATTCTCATGTATCTAAAAGCTGAGCCTACAAGCTGACAAGTCTCATATCATTCATGTTTTATAAAGACCGGAGCCTCTACATATCTCAAAATCAGCCTCTTACTTCTGTGTATTTTAGTATTTTCAAGAGTTGAAACGTGTTTAAAAAATAAACAGGAAACAGGAATACTTACTTGAACCTGGCAGGTGAAAGAGGAGTAGGAGGAAACATTCCTGGTTCAAAAGAATCAAAGTAAGTCACTGTCCAAGAAAAGCTGCAACAGGAGAATCCAGCAGTTAGGGATATTATAAGTAGAGTCCAGAATCCTTAACAGGAAAAGAGATGGGGAAAAAGTAGATTATTAATACCAAAACAATTTAAATTACACCAGTATTCTCATGTTTAGATCACATATAATTCTGATCTTCTAAATTACATGAACCTGATACTACAAGAGATTTGAACTTAGCGCAAGTTATCCCATGTAGAAGTATATATTACTAAAGCAGAACTAGAAGTCATATCATTGAATATTTTTAATGATAATATGTTAAAAAAAAAAGGGGGGTAAATTCAACAAGAACATAACACCTTCAGTTTTATAAAATGCAACTACAGAAAACATGGTCAAAATATTTCACAATATTCGTAACATGTCTTGAGGCCAGACAAGCTGGCTCACGCCTGCAATCATAATGCTTTGGGAGACTGACGGGGAGAATGGTTTGGGGCCAGGAGTTTGAGCTTGCAGTGCACCGTGATTGCGCCACGACTGCACCATGGCACTCCAGCCTGGGAGACAGAGTGAAACGCTGCCTCAAAAAAAAAAAAAGTCAAGTCTTAAGATTTTTCATGTAATTTCATAAATCATACCTTATCTTCATTATTTAGTACTGATTCCTTTCACTCCACACCATGCACTTTTGAAACATGCATCAATGTGGGGGTATCTCCTCTTTACAATTTTCTTATGAACATTATAAACCTACTCTGATTCTTAAACCTTGCTCAGCATATGAACAAAAGTTGATTCCTGATTTACAAATTGTGTGGGACCCTAGATTTTATTTGCATTGAGTTTGGAACTGTATTTTCTCACAGAAGTCAAATCACAAGAATAGTATTATAATGGGCTTAAGGAAAAGGGTTGAGAAGAACAAAAGGCATAAAGTAAAAAGAAAGGGGTAAGTTAATGCTAAGGTTTTTAGATACTATTCATAACCCATTAGGAGTAATAAAAGAATAATGATTTGTTCTTGTGGTTACAATAAGAAAGGAAATACTGATATTTAAGTGGCCAACTCCCTTTAGTTAAGTACAGCTTTATTTTGATGTGAAGTTTTCAAAAATTTTATACATTAACTCACTTATTCATCTACTCAATCTATACTGAGGGGCTACTATATGTTGGTTATTGTGCTAGGTGATGGGGATACAGTGGTGAGGAAAACAAAAAAGACTGCTGTCTTCATGAAGTAATTCTAGTGGCACAGAAAGATAATAAATATGTAAATAAATTAACGAGATAACTGTATATTGTGAAAACTATTTTGATTAAGATGTTACCACTTAAAGAACGTAACATCAGAACTCAGATTAAAAATGTGAACACATTTTTCTTGGAAGAATAACAGTTAATTCTAAAATTCACATGAAATAATAAGCAAAAAGAGAGACCAGTCCAACCAGATATTGACATATTATAGGACCTAAATACCTAAAACAGTGTGTACTGATATACAAATAGATGACAGGGCCAGGAGTGGTGGCTCATGCCTGTAATCCCAGCACTTTGGGAAGCTGAAGCAAGAGAATTACGTAAGGCCAAGTAAGGGTTTGAGACCAGCCTGGCCAACATGGTGAAACCATCTCTATTAAAAATACAAAAATTAGTCAGGCATGGTGGTGCATGACTATAATCCCAGCTACTTGGGAGACTGAGGCAGGAAAAGTGCAGTAAGCCAAGACTTCCTGCACGCCAGGCTGGAGTGCAGGACTACTGCACGCCAGCCTGGCGACACAGTGAGATTCTGTATCAAAAACAAAGACACAATGGAACAAAGCAGAATCCAAGGTCTGGAAGAAGGCAGAAGAACGCCCAAATAGATTACTACAAAATTTTACTAATTCAATGGGGTGACCACTTACAAAAAGGAAAATAAGTTGGATCCATACCAGATACTCTGTACTATGCTAAATTCCACCAAATAATCTAAAGTTGTAGAAAGTATCACTGGAAAAGTCATTTATAGCTTTGGAGAGAGAAAGGCCTGTCTAACCATAATACAAAATTCATGACCCATATAAGACATAATGTTTCAACTATATACAGTCAGCCCTTCCTATCCACAGCTTCTATATCTGGATGTAAAATACTTGGAAAAAAAAAATAAAAGTAACAATACAACAATAAAAATAATGCCAATCAAAACCAATACATTATAACAACTATTTACATAACATTTACATTATATTAGGTATTACAAAGAGAAATGGGAAGATGTGGATAGGTCACATACAAATACTATACAATCTCATATAAGGGACTTGAGCATCCACAGATTTTGGTATCCACCAGGGTTCCTGGAACCAATCCCTCAGATACTGAGAGACAACTGTATATAGGTAGACATCCATACTACCATATATGAATAGCAAAATCAAATGTCAAACTGAACAACAAAAAATTTTTAAATATACATTTGCAATTTAGAGCAAGAAGGGAAAATCTCCTACAATAGATTAATTCCCAGAAAACAACAACAAAAAGGCCAGCAATCCAAAACCCAATATAAAAATATTCAAATACAACTGTCGAATAAAAACTATAAATGTTGAAACATGAAAAGATGCTCAATTCAATACCATTAATAATAAAGAGAAACTGAGTATCATTTTTTCATCATCAACTGACAAAAATCAGATAGTTGGATTAACATTCTCTGATGCTGAGGCTGTGAATAAACAGAAAATCTTCATGCATCGTTGTTTTGGGGAGTAAATTGTTATAATTCCTACGGAGAGCAGTTTGGCAGTATCTGTTAAAATGATGCATGTATATGTTCTTTACTCAAGTAATTTTGTCTATCTTTGGGACAGTATGCCTCTGTATACTGTACTAAAAAATATGAACTTGCATAAAATGATGTATATACAAGATTGTTCTCTGTAGCTTTGTTTGTAATAATATAAATTGGAAACAATCTAAATAATCAGTAATGAAGGTAAAGTATTGGTTAAGTACATCCATATAATGGAATATTATGCAGCTTTAAAAATGAATGAGGAAGCTCTTTATGTACTGATATGTAAAGATCCTGAAAATATACTGGTGAGCCCAAACTGAAGGTTCAGAACATCTCTATGCATTTGTATAAAAAGAAGAAAATACGTATTGTACACATATATATGCCGTATACATGAAGAAATGTATATTGTAGTTAGATATTTAAAAATATTTCTGGAAGGATGTAAGAATTTAACATTGGTTCTCTGGGGAGGGAGGAAAGAGTGGTTGGGAGAAAAGAATAAACCCTTTTCAGTCTATACTCGTTTATACTTTTCGAATTTTGACCCATATGACTATTCTACCTATTCAAAATAGAATTAAGTAAGCTTATAAAAAATTTTTTTCAGTCAGGCAGTCCTTTCTGAACAGGGAAGTCGTATCAGAATCTTTGTGGACTCATTTTCATACAGCATGTTTAAGACAAGTTTCTGAAGTGTGTGTGTTCCATGCCTCAAGAATATAGGGAGGAATCATTGAGAACACTAGCAGATGACTTAGGAATTATTAAATTTCCTGACTACACAAAATTATCCATGAGTCTTTAGCAAGAAGCAGGTAAAAAGTATATGCGTTGGACTGTTTGTAAATCTTGTAAAGCTCAGTAACAGACTGAAAAAAATGGTTAAAGTACAGACTCACAGGAATTATTCATAAAAAGTGTGGTAATTTTTGAAAGATTAATCTAAATTATTTTTCCTGATATTCCCTTCTCCCATCCCCCACATGTCAAAGAGCTAATGGGCTCTTGTGTTCCTTTCTCCAGAAGAGGGATGTGGCAAAGCAGAAAGGAGAAATAGCCTTTCTACTTTTATGTTGCAAAATATTTACAGAAACATGTACAGATATAATCAGGGGTAGGAGTGTGGATATAAAAAATGTCTTGAATGCACAGCAAAAGACAATGAGTTGATTGGAGTACAGATAAAATGTTTGTGTTGAACAGGGAAAAAGAGAGTAAGGGGCTTATCCACAAGTGAGAAAGATTTCCCTGGTTTAAAGTATGTTGTATGCATGTTTGCACTGTGTGTGAATGGGGAAAGGGAGTATTGCTACTGGGGCTTCCTGACAAAGCATCTAGAAAAGTCCACACAAATCCACACAGGGAGTGTAGCTGTGTACAGTATCTCAGTAGATAAGTACAGAGCCAAGCCTGCAGATGCTTCAGCCCTAAGCTAGGCATAGAAACAGCAGATGGTCATGTGATTGGAAGTTGCTACATCTGCAAGACTATCCTGACCACAATAAAAGGTGTTTCAATACTCACTTGAGCAAATGTCTTTGAGGTTTAGTCTGTACCTTCACTCCAATATCCTGGCACAGTATCCACTTCTAGCTCCCCAACCCAATCTGGAATTGGGTGAACAGAACCTTAGAATAACCTTCCTACCAACCCATCATGCTAGAGGGTCAAAAAAGAAACTATAAGATTTAGTGTACAACTACAACTTACGGGTTGCTATATTGTCAAATAACTGTTATTTGCTATTATTTAGTTGACTATGTCTAAAGAGGGAAGAAAACAATTGACAAGTCTAAAGAGAGGAGAAATAATTGACAGTTTACTCAAACTTTAACATACTTCTCCAGAACAAAGATGGCAGTTAAGAAAAACTTCTAGGTAAGTGAGGAAAGACACAAAGCATCATAAAATAACCAAATATGAGGCCTTCTAAAACCTATTAAACTTTTTCACTTGGATGTTTTAATCGGGTACCTATCAAATTTAATACAAGAGTATTCTTGGGTTTTTCCAAAATTATTCCACAATCTAAGTATTTACCACACACTGAGCATTTTAATTATTTTATGTTCATTTTAAACTAATTAAAAGCTGCATCATGAATAAGTCAGGTCGCAATGATAGGGCTAAAAAAAGTACACTGCAATATTGTGGTCTAGAAGTGCTTATGATTTGGGAAATTACTCAATTCATTTACAAATAAGCAGAAAAGCCACAGAAATTGATAATTTCCAACAACTAAATTTGTTACAAGTCAGTATCTGCAGAATCCGTATGCTAAAATTTTCATGTTTTAT